ACACAATAACGTATAATCAATCATAACAATTGTTGTGTTACTTCAGAGTAGTAATACTATAGAATAGATCTCAGACAGCATTACCATATCATGTGGCATTTATCTTATGGTTAGTGTCACAATTGTGTACAATTAAAATATTAGTAAAACTTCTCATGGCTTGATGCCATTCAGATTTCAAAGGCTGACTGGATGTCATTGCTCGCCAATAGTGTCCACCAGAAAACTCCTGTATTCTGAACTATTTTAATTTTAACAAATTTACTACAATGACATGGCCTACTGTGTCAATAACTTTGGATTATATTNAACTGTGTTAATAACTTTGGGTTATATTATACCTGGTACTATTTTTCTAATAATTTCGTTGGTCACGCGTCATTATTTCCACGTAAAACGGTTAAGTTGCCTATACCTAACTCCTTACTATGATATGTATTGAAAAATATATATCTAAATTATGAAAAATATTTTTCTGTATTTTTAAATAACTGCAGTGCGATCATTCAACCATTTTAATCTCACACGGTTGTAAAAAATTTTCCTTTTAAAAGAATCTATTATTATTGTACTACCACGAATAGTTTTTACGCAAATCGAATAATAATACTTTAATTTTATTAGATAAAAAAATCAATACTGCAAATTAAATTGCTTAATTGAATAACTAAGGTGCATCAAAATTGTCATTGGAAATTTTTTTTTATTATTTCACAGAAAATGCAACATTTTCTGATTAGTTATCATCAATACAAATTATATATTATGTATAATTATAAGAAAATGTTTTATTTAGTTAAACCTCTAACGAAATAATTGTAAAACAATTCACGTTTTAATATAATAGTAAATATGTATATTTGCTTATTACTTATTATATGATATTTTACTGTATACAATATATTATCATATACATGAGTTTGGGGTAGTGGAATAAAGAATTTTTTTGGTAACAAAAATATTCTTCTGCAGATTATTGCAGTCAATTACAGTAATTAAAAAATAATAATTTCTTAAATTTATAAACAATTTTATTAAGAATAATTTATCAAAACTAAAAAATTATGTTTGTAAACATTTATGATGGAAAAATAATAATACTCTTTTTCTAGGTTAGTTGGTTGGGTCAAATATAAATAATATTAATTATATTAATGTTTTTTCACTTTGTGACCTCACATTTTTTGTGCATTTTTATGGCTTCTCTTTTTTTTTAAATTTCTATGAATTCTTAATATTTTTGCATTTCTCTGGCTTCTCATTTTTTTGGCTTCTTATACTTTATATTTTTATGGCTTCTAATTTTTTTTATATTTCTATGGCTTTTTATACTTTNGGCATAAAGGATGAACTTAAAAGGTATTACATAGTTAATAATTCAAGAATAATGTGTAACTAAAGATAATAATAAAAAAAAAATTTTTTATGTATTATTATTCTGTAAGTAATTGAATGGGTTTTAATAAAAAATCACCCTGTATATGTATAGATCTACGATATAGATGTCCACTATGGTCGGGTAGAGTATTAACTTTTTCATTAAGTTCTTGGTGGTAATCTTCGCCATTAGATGATGATCCACAACATGCGTTTGTATAGTAGTTGGACAAACGAGGAATATTGACTTGCTCAGACAAGAGCAGTTTTTTCACTTTGTGGCTACACATTTTTTGTGCATTTTTATGGCTTCTCTTTTTTTTTAAATTTCTATGAATTCTTAATATTTTTGCATTTCTCTGGCTTCTCATTTTTTTGGCTTCTTATACTTTATATTTTTATGGCTTCTAATTTTTTTTATATTTCTATGGCTTTTTATACTTTGTAATTTTATGGCTTCTCATATTTTGTATTTTTAATTACCCAATATTTTTGCAATTCTATGGCTTCTTATTTATTGTATTTCTAAGGCTTTCAATGTTTTTGCAATTGTATTACTTCTCATATTTTCGCATTTTTGCATATATTTTATATTAGTTTTTGCTAATGCTATAAAAAAATCTTCACTCACAAAATGATCATAAAAAATCGTATATAGGAATCAATTTAATGAATTTAAAGTATAAATTGATCACTTCTAAATATAACTCTAAAGCGTTTGTAAACTTAAAAATATATAATAGGTTGATTGGTTATTTTTCATTTGAAGTATGCTATATATTTAACTTAGTATGATCAAATTATCTGAAGCTAAATAGAAAAATTTGGAAGTGGCTAATTCATGACCTTTTAAATAATGTAAAATATAATAAAAACAAATTAAAAAGAATATTTCCGACAGTAATCTCAAAAAAGATTATTATGGTAATTTTACATATTACTTAAATGTATTCATGTATATCACATATAGTAACTAAAAAGTTATTTAAATGGTTGTTATTGGTAAATGGTTTATTAAAATATTTTTTAGCTTTAGTGCGTCGATGAGGAACTATTAGTTTTACTCTCCCGTTTTTTATCTTTGTGCCTAGTAGGCCAACACACTCCCGCCCCTTATGGACTAATTTTACTCAACGATACGTCAAAAGATCACAAAACGTATCTAATTGAAGCTGTGAGCGTCATAATTTTGAAACATTCCCTTCTGTCCCGTTAATAAAGAGAAATGTCACAAAAAAATTACTGTTGTCATAAACCAGTCATTTCGATATTTTTAGATTTCATTATATATTGAGATAACTTTTTAAAAACTTTCAAAATTTTTATTGATAACACTGCAAACATTTTCTTCACTACTGACATGCTTTTCTTGAAATTTTAATCATTAACTAAGGTACTGTAAGGGCTTAAAATTCAGATCAAAGTTTTTTTTCATTTCAATTTTTGATAATTATCTAAAATATCTTCTTTAATCTTACATAGCATTAAAGGTAATACACTGTACTTTAAGTCGAAAAACTATCCGAAATCACAATTTTAAGGAGTTATTGGATATTAAAGCCAATAATCATACATTTTTTGGTAAAATTATGTAATATTTTGAATTGTAACGGAATGTTTGCATCATTCTAAATTATTTCATATTGAAGTTTGTTCAATGTAATATATGATTACAAAGAAAAACGTTCGGGTAACTTATCCTCTATGAGAAATCAAAAACTGAAGTCAAAGAACATATAATTTTAGGTAGATATGATGAATTTTTTTTTTGTTTTCCATGAAAAAGATCATGTGATTTAGCTAAAAAAATCTTATTCGAAATGCTTGATCCATGTATTTAGTTCAACAATTATAAATAAGATTGGTAATCCTTTGAAGAGTAAAACATCTGGTAAGTATTTAACATTAAAAAAAAATTTAATTGATTAAAATTATGTCAGTGTAAGTATATTTTAACAATGATTTTATTTTTTAAATAAGTATAACGTTTTATTAAAAATAGTGACTATAAACTGTAAAATTTACAAGAAATTAGTAACCCATTATAATGATTTTTAAATTTTGTTTTGTATATTTTATTAAGTATACGATTATATTGTATCTTTGAGTAATAGTTGGCAAAGATAATTTCTAGGGGAGGTAATAATAATTTATTTTTGCTTATCACTTAGTTCTAACTATAATNCCCTTAAGATAATTTCTAGGGGAGGTAATAATAATTTATTTTTGCTTATCACTTAGTTCTAACTATAATTTAGTGTAATTCCAATGGAAAAAGAAATAAAAGCTTAAGAAAATACACATATTTTTAGAAAAGCACCATTAACCGCTATAAACTATGTTATTATTACAAGTATTATCTCATTCATGTAATATTAAGTCTACTCTAAACGTCGTTTTAACACCTTTTTCAATATTCAACTCCTCTGACACTTATAAATAGGTTAATATAATTCTGTGGTGACTACACAAAATTGACTAAGAAATGTATCTTCATCATATTTGGGTAGAATACTTTCCAGAATAATCTGATTATACTTTTTCAACTCCTTCTATCCTAAAAAAATAATTAATAAATCTAAATCATGCAATTCATATAGTCCTCAATATTCGAGGACACTGAGGAATGTATATTTATTCTAACACTAACATTTTAATGTAAAAATTAATTATATATGTATAAGTATTCGATGTTTTAGTAATTTATGATATATTTTGGAATACTATGTAAAAAAAATTTCAAGTTGCAAAATGTGCATATTTAAAGTTTTTGGGCATTAACTTTGAACCTATTGGGCGGATAATGTGAGTAATGCATTTACTTAGTCAAATAAAATATTAAATAACTTTTAGGTTTAATATTATTATTCGAAAAGTATTCCTAGAGGTATTCGAAGAAGTAGTCTATTCAATTATGATTTTTATATTGTCCGTTACATGATAAAATTTCGTAAGTCTAATTTTATAGAAGTAGCGTAAAACATTCTCCTTTTTTATTTGGAACGTCATTTTAGTTTAGTACTTAATGCGTAGTAAACTAAAACCAAACAATATCTATACGTTCTACCCATAGATATCATTATAGCTAATATGTAGGGAGGGACTGGGTGGAAAAGTTTCCTACTTTTTATTTGAATTTGAGATGCTATGGACAAATAGGCTGTACCTTAGTTTCCTAAATAATAACGCAGAATTTTAAGTACGGAAATGTATACTCCGTAACCCGAAAATGACGTCTGTTTTGTATTACTACAAATAAAAGTTAATGAGCATAAAAAAAGGGTTTTAAACTCAACAGTAAATTTTAACAATAGCTAAATTGTTAAGAAAAGCTATCAAAATCACAGGGGAGCTCCACAAAAGTATATCTGGATTTACCACTGTTTGCTTTTGTTTCTGTAGAAATAAGGTTTAATTTTTGTATTTTAAAATGAAATTTTACTTTTATAATACTTATAATAATAATTGTATAAAAAAAAATATCAAAAACATGATATCTAAGGTTTTTACATAGTTGTCGGTGATACTAAATCCCGGTTATTTGAAATTAAATAGCCAAATTTAATGTTGATGTTGTAATTATACAGTTATAATTTACACAATGTTATTTATTTTTTAGTTTAACGTTTTGATTAAAATAACATTACACGATGGAAGAATATAGCCGTGCACCATGCCCTATAAGAATTTTAGAAGATATGGGAGGTGCATTTGCTCTAGGTCTTATTGGAGGAGGAATTTTTCAAAGTTTTAAAGGTTTTCGAAATGCGCCAGTAGGTTTTGACAGGCGATTAAAAGTAATTTTGTGCAAAAATTCAATTTTATAGACTTTTTTGTTCATAGTTAATTTTATAATTCATAGTAAATTCTTAGCAATACTATACACGGTAAGTGTCAATACAAGTCTCCGAGTTCTATGATTCACTTAGGCAGCTTTCCGATCCCCAATAGAGTTGGATAGGTAGTAAATATATACGAACTGATTCACTGTGCTAATGTGCTATAGGACAATGGGCCAAGTTAGATTCTCCAAACATTTTGTTAAAATTGTACTTACTCTCTATGTAGGTACAATTTTAACATATATGTAGGTGCATTTTTCAATGTAGGGTATGAGGACACAGCTCTACAATGATATTAAATATCATTGTAGATAAATTTTATCATAAAGGTTTTTCATTTCTTTCCATAACAAAATCGTTTGATCGTCACTTAAACAGGATTAAATTGTATTAATAAATAGCATTTATTATTTGACAGTTTCATATTAGTTAAAATTATTCATTGTTGATTACTGTTTTAATGAACATTACAAGTTGTTTTTCGTGTACCAATGACCTGGTGTTTTCGTTTATTCAATTGACTATTAATTATAAAAAATTACTTTTTTGAAATAAAAAAGATGAACTTTTATTTTTTTTTATCAAAATAAAAAATTAAAAAATATCCTTCTAACGCGATCTAAAAATGAAAATTGTTGGTTGGGTTTGATTTGTTTAAAAATATAATTGCAGCGAAATTTATATCGGATCTAAAGTTATATTAGATCTGGTTCACTTTTTATATGTTAAAATTTTTTCATTCATTGTTTTTAAAATTTCTTTATTTACCATCCATCCGAATATCTGTTCATTGTTGATGCTTTGTGCACTTTTTTTACTTAATAATTGACATTTATAATTTAATTACATTTTGATGTGCGTACTAAGTATATTAACAGTGGCAATTATTTAAAAAAAATACTTACAAAATCTTATTTTAATTAATTTATTTTTCTTTTATAATTTATAGAGTGCATATTTTACAATGAAAACTAGAGCGCCACCATATGGTGGTAGTTTTGCTGTTTGGGGTGGTGTATTCGCATCAGTTGATTGTTCCCTTGTAGCTATAAGAAAAAAAGAAGATCCATTGAATAATATTGCCAGTGGTGCAATAACTGGTGGAATATTATCAGCTCGAGGTGGTGTAGCTGCTATTGCAGGATCTGCTATTTTTGGTGGCCTTTTATTGGCTTTAATAGAAGGATTTAATATTGCTTTTTGGTATATTCAGGCTGAAGAATTTAAACCTCAAGTTATATTGGAAACTAAACTTGATGATGATAAAAAAGGAAATGAAAAAATGATCGATGATAAAAGTGATCAAAATTATCAAAATAACAGCGGACAAAATTTCAATGAAACAAATTTTAGTTCTGGCTAGTTTTATGTGTGTTCAATTTACTATTAATTTAGTTAGATTCTTCTGAATATTTGTTTTGTTTTAATNAATTGTAAATTATTTACTATTAATTTAGTTAGATTCTTCTGAATATTTGTTTTGTTTTAATTATAATTTTTTTTTAACACAACGATTTAATAAAAGGATTAAACTAAGTTTTGTGACTCTAGATAACATTACATTTTTCTAGTATCATCGGCGTATTATACAACAACAACTATGTTTATTAGGGAATTTTTGTGGCCATTGGCGTTTGTATTATTTTCTTCTTACTCTTTTTAGCAACAGAAAAACAATTAGCAAGAAAAGGATAGATATAGAGGTGACGTTTTCTATATGAAGGAGCGTGACGTAGATACTAATTCATGTAGTTAAAAACTGATATTTAATTTACAAAATAAAAAAGTTATCATACAAAGAACACATATTAACTAAAGTTTATTCAATAAAAATAATATAAAACCATATAAATAAATTTGTGTAGCATATGTTAACTATCCCAAGTCAGATATTTTTTGAAAACCAGTCGAGAATGTTCATTAAATAAGAATTTCAAAAATAGCATCACCTCATTTTCAAAAAAAATGTGACTTGATATAGTTTTTCTCTGGTATACAGAAATAGTGCGAATAATATAATAATATTCGTATGATTATATTATGTATAAAAATAATACTATTTATATATGGATACGAAATTAAGTAACAACTAATATAGCCATGTACAAAATATTAATACAAAATCAGTGAATTACTAACATTGTGCTTTACAAATTATAATTCATCGGAAAATAGTTGTATACTTAAACCACCTTAAAAGTAATAAAAATAGGATTATAATTACAAGTAACGTTACTAGACTTAGTATTAATGAGGATACAGAATTTTCAACATTGACCGGTTTACAATATGTTTGTAATCCAACCTGAAAACAAAAAATATAACATGCTTAAAAACACAAAATTCCAACCCTAATAATTAATAAAATTTATTTTACTTTAAGAATTATTAACATTTTTAATTAATGTTAATTGTAATTAGAAGTAATTAAAACATAATAATTATTATATAACAATTCTTATTTGAAACAAAATTATAGTTTATCATTTATTTAACTTAATTTATTATTTTTTATGTTCATTGTCATTGATGAAATCTGGGAGTTTAGAGTGGGTTAAACCATCTTTAATGCTGTTTCACCCCATCAAAAATTATGAAAATTACATGTAAACTTGTAAAAAAATATTTTTAAGTAGATGAAAAATTAAGTTAATTCCCAAAAAATTGTGTACTAGTTGTGCCTATGCTTATTGATCAGCTCAATAATAATGTGTATATGGAGTGATTCCTTTATCACAAACCACTAAGTTAAATAGAAAATAAAAATAATATAGAGAATTTTTTTTCGGTCCTTTTTTGGTATATGTTTTTTTCAGTTTATCAATCATAAAATATTTTTTATGTTCATCTTTTATAAGGGTATCAATTTTATTTTTCAAATAGGAACATGCCTAATTAGCTAGTTTATTTAATAAATAATTAAAAAATTTTATACCTAGCCAGTTGGAAAAGTGCGCCCGAGACTAGTGATAAACATAACACCCACGCCTCCTCACTTCCAGCCATCACTATAATATGAGAACAACTGTGTGAATAACAACAATAATGCGACTTATTAAGAATACTTCCCCTCCTTTTACCATTCGTTTATCAAATAATGATTTTTTTATAAATGTGAACAGATTTAAATTGAAATAACTTTAATTGACTATATCCTTTTACAAAGTACTGCGATTAAATTAAAGATTATTTCAATATAATAGGGTTCTTATTGCATTCTAATAATTTCCCTTTGTTTTTAAGTTTTTAATCACTATACTATTGATTTATTTTTGTTCCCCTCCCCTATTGGTTAATTAGAACAATTAACAGAATATGACTTTGGCGCTAGTAAAAGTATGTAATAATATACATTTTGCTTATTACTGTTAAACAAAAAAATCTTTAGCCCCCCCTTGAAAAATCCTGTGTACCTTCTTATATATTTTATCAATATTTCAAACATTAAAAAAAAAAATGCAAATCTTCTTCTTTAAAATCAAGAGAATTCAAAAAATATATTTGTTTTATTCTTAGACAGAGATGACAATTAATATCGAACTTAACATAACAGTGATTGAAGTGACTGGGTTTTTTTTTATGATTCATTTGGCTAAAATCTCATAAGTAATTGATGTAATTTTTATTGTGTACGTGCAAAGTTAATCACTAAATATACACTTGTACAAGTACTTAAAAATAGTACATCAAGATTGATAATTTAATAACTACGATTGTTATTATTACTATAATTTACAATCCTACCAAAAACAAGAATAGCCTTCGTGAATTATATTTTCTTAGGTAAATACCTGCACTAACCTAAAAATTATTTTTAATTTAGCTATTTTTTGTCTTAATATCATTATTATTACGATTTCCAATGTATGAGTTAACAAATCACAACGAAGTTTTTACATTTACAGAGTGTTCAAAAAATTAAGGGAATAGGTCAATTGTTACCAACAATGAGAACAATAGAAACCCGTTTCCTTACTTACTGAACACTCTATATAAATATTTACATAGTAAAAGTAAATTGATTTTTCTTTTTTCGAAAATTGCCACTTTACTGTAAACCGGTTGTGTATAAAACGACGATTCATATTTCCTACTAGGATTAGTTGTTGACCACCGAAAAATCTTCAACTCTATTATTTAGACAACCGCGATGATATTATTATTATAAATAGGCATGTTGGAATTATACGATGGCATCCCAAAGTTATCATTTTAAAACTAGTGTTCGCAACACCGCGTTTTATTTAGCTCTATGCCAAAATGATTTAAACGTACGTTGCGTAATGATATTTTTTGCAAATTTATCGAAATTAATGACTTTCAGTGAGGTCGTGATCATTGAAAATTTTGATTTAGCCTTTAGATTAAACTCGTGATGTACAAATAGCTGCAAAAGTACTTTATATATAATCTATTCCGAAATAACAGTTATTAGATTCTCAATAGAATGACATGGAAAAAATAATTATAGGAGTGTACAAAGTTTTGGATGAACAAAAAATATTATTTCATAAATTGCTTAATTTTAAGTAACCCCGGACATTTTACCGTTATAATTCACTGTTTTGAGCATCAACATTGTAAAGATTACAAATAATTTTAATAAGAATTTTTTCAAAAAACACTAATGCTTTTTTAATTAATTTAGAATTCTTTTCATTAAAGGCTGTTTATATTTTACCATACAAACATTTTTGTTAAATTAAAATATAATATTATAGATTGTATAAACCCAACCATCCATAGTAGTTTTTTACAATAAAAATAATTTTTATAGAAACATCAATTAGGGTCCCAGGATCTTGCGGATTCGAAGTAAATAAAAGTCTGTGTAAAGTACACAGAAAAAATAGTCATTAGGAGAAGTAATTTAGGTAATTTCAAGCACTAGATTAAATTGAAAGGGCCACGCAATGTACTGGATCTAGAAACCGGAAGGCGATCTCAAGTTAATCTGATTTCTATTTAAATGTTTTATAGTACGAAATAACTCAATAATAATTCGTTATTCATTTGTTAAATTAGGTCCGGATCCAGTTTAGTTGATCGAAGAATCCTTCACTGTTACTCTACCTTAATACTATGAAATTTAAAACTAGATTTCTTTACAAGAAAGAAACTTACTCTTTTACACGTGCATAACTGAAGTATTCGAAATTTGAACTTGGTAATTAGTTACCAATCAATTTAGAAATATTTAGTTAAACAACAATGTGATAACTTAGTTTTTGTTCTTCAAAATACACGTAGTGTTGAAACGTTATTAGAACAATAATTAGTAAAATTATAATATAAATATATTTAATATTTACAATGCACAACATCAAATAATTATACCGATTATATATTAAACTTTGAATAGAAGATAACTATGTCCGACTTTGAACTAATTATCTGTTGAGGTAATTATTGCGAATAACGTGAGGTAACCGTGTTGGTAATTTTATGGTGTTTATAAACAACCAATTAAAATTAATTTAAATGTCGTACTGTATGAATTTCAACTGTACCAAATTAATAATTTTTGAAAACTATTTGAAACTTTTAAGTATGAAAAACCCAGCACAGGGGGTCGCGGCACAGTGGTGACGTGGCATAGTTGGATCAAGTATAATGATATCTGACAGTGATTAAAATCACTATAAAAAAAAAACAAACGCTTCGACGCAAATGTTTAGATATTGTTTAATTTTAAAATATTGATATAATCATTATTGAAAAAGTTATGGCAGTTTTAAGTGAAAAAAATTGAAAAAATTAGCGATTTTTAAATGTGTAATTTTTTTGGAGGTTTCCCCCATTGACGGGGAACGAGGGAAATTTTTTTAATTTTTGAGGGTAATGTGTTCGACTAGATACATTTTTTGATCTTTTGAGGTATCATTGAAAGAAATCGGTTCGGTGAGAGCTGAGAATTGTGGTAACAGACACAAAAAAAAAACACATCATAGTAAAATAAATATTTTCTCAGCTTCGCATCGAAGCTAAAATATGTTTAATATCCTAATGCATCATAGTGACGTATGTAAAGTGAGAAGAATGCCGGAAGAAAGATGAATAGGATTTTCGTTATTTAATAAATGACAGCCTATCTCTAAAACCTTTTCAATGATATAAATTTGAATCTACAATGTTTTCCTAGTTTCACAAATATAAACATTTTTCTAAACTTTGCTCAACAAATACAATTTTAAAAACTTACCCATCCACCGTTGTAATGAATCCAGGTGGCTAAGTCGTCTTCAATAATCTCTCCAACCGCTTCAATAATATCGGCTAACTGCTCTGCATGTCCCTGCCGTACGCTATCTAAGGCTAAACCTGCTGCTACACACATCAGTGATACGACTTTAGCCCAAGTTATTTGCGAACCAGCTCGGAACAGCTCTCTTGATACGGAAACTAGCACTGCAGCTGGACTTCTGGCTTGTCGCGTCAGTCCTGGCGTGTACAACTTCGGATGTAGTCGTTCCAGCTCTTGGCCTACTATTAGCACCGCAGGGAAAACGTCTCTGACCCCGGCGCTCTGAGGAATACTATGAATACTGCGAATCCGCAATAGACCACATTTTTTGGAAAATGCCCCTACATTCTTTAACTTCCATCGGATATACTGGCTGCACAGTGCCTTGCCCTGACATGCAATCTGTTCAGCGGGAACAGAGGTCCGCCAACCAATGGTATGCGACAATTTTCTGGAAACCACGTCACTGACGTTGCTGAACCTCCGACGAGCTGTGGCCACAGTGACCGAAGGCGATCCGTCAATTGCCATGGTAACAGGTGACTGTTGCCCGACAGCAGAGTGGAGGGCGACGGGAAAACTAAACTTGCGTCTCGGCACAGCCCGGCCGGTAGCTGTGCATGAAGACATGATGAGTCCTCCTTCAGACATACGCCGCACTTCATTACACCTGTCAAAAATGATACTCCATTAATACAACATTAAAGAATTAATAAAAAACAAACGTTTACATATGCCATAAAGTTAATGATGGATAAAAGAGCTCGACATCTACTCTATGCTATACATACATTCCATTAGAATATTTCATTCTCTAAAAATGCATTATTAGTAATTAGTTCAGTACGACGCATTCGATCATTTTCGTATTAAATATAAGCAAAAGCATCTACCAGGAAATACGTGAAAGAGATATTTCTTCCTCTTTATTTTTTTAAGAATAAAACAAAAAGTTATTTTTATTTTTGCTTATACACAAGTACAATTTTTGTTTATGTGTATTTGTGTTTAGTATCATTTTATAAAAAATAAGTTTTTGAGTTGGTAAATTTTATTATTTTGAGAAGAATATAACCTGTTAACATATTAATCATAAGTTAAATTTATGTCAATATATACAAAACTTTATTTATTATAACCAATTTTAAAATAACATCACTTAAATTTTATTATTTTTTTTTTATTTCATTTACTTTTTTTTGACATCTACACTCACTCATTGCTTAACCTTAAAAAGAAGTCAATAAGTAGATTTATTATTTATCTAGCAATGTTTTAAAGTTATAAGTTATCATCAGTTAATTACATAGAAATTAAAATTTTAAAAACGCATAACTGAAAAATAAATTATTTAGAGTTACAATTTTTATTCTGGATGACATTATTTTAGAAAAATAACTAAGATTTTGACAATCTATAGATTTTTTTAATTATTTTATCTATCTGTTCTAATAACAAAATAAGTATCATGATTAAAAACGATCTAATCTCTTTTAAATATTTTTGATATATTATTTGTAATACAAACACATAGCATAAGTTTGCAATCGGTAATATATCAAAAACCCATAGTTTTTTAAATAGTTTTATTTGTGTACTACGTTTTTCAAAGGTTTTTTCCTACATTTTTTTAAATAGCAATTTAATACTAAACCATATTGATAATTGCAAAAATTTAGATACTATCAAACTAGTATATGATTTTGACCTTGTGGTTTTAAAGGCAAATTAGATTCAAAAAATATTATTATTGGTAAATGATCGTCGTTGTTGTTATTTTAAAATTAATGGACAAGAATAGAAACACATGGACACAATAAAATTTCGTTGTCAATAAGTCTCAATTAGTTATTAATGAAAAACACAATTATTGTTCGATTTCACGCAGATTGAATTGAGTTTTATGAAATGACCATGTTGATATCATTGAATACTCAAAAAGAATTTTATTTTGTAGTAATACTTTTACACATCTGTATAATAATGTGATATTAATTGATAAATATTTTTGTATTCAACACCGAACAATTTTGTAGTACAATTATAAATTGTATAACATCATATTGTGAATATTATAATTATTGAAAATTATAAAAACATACATGTTACATTATTTTTAAACAATTAAATTATTACTTTGTGTGAAGATAATTTATTGATATAATCTTTTAAATATAGCGTGCCGATAAAAAAAGAAGTAGTATAACATTATTCACAACAGAACAGCTAATTAAACAAATTTTAATTTACAACTGTATTATTTGGTCAGTAGAATTATGTTAGTTTTAATCGATCAACGATATAGTCAAACAGCCAATAAACAGTCATAACAGAAAGTTTTGTATACTTTTGGATTTGGCTAAACAAGTCATCGTTTTATAGCACCAAAGCTTCATATGATGATGCAATAAAGTAAATAGTCTATCACTACTTGACTATATATTAGTTGAGCAGTATTTGTTTTGTCGTCATATAAACATTCAGTTGTAATACAACTTAAGCCATTGAGTTAAACACTTGGCACTTGGACAATACATTGTTTTCAAATAAAAATTACTTGACAAATATAACACGTGTTCTTGTTTTATAATTAACTACATAACATTAGTTAAACTACAGAATGTTGTACAATTTTTAAGAATTCCTAAATCTTAATAACGTGCATTGTTTTTACTTGTCTATAAGCCCACTAACACACATTATCCGAAAATGCAAACTAACTTATAATGTGTACTCTGTAAGGCAAACCGATCTCGTACAATTTACTTGCCCCGTATAATGCAAAAGTACAATGAATACATAAATTTAATATTTAACAGCGCATAGCATAGAAAAAACTTAAAATTCATATGTGTCATGTACACAGTGTAACTTCTGATCCTATATTTGAACAATTATCGTACATTTTGGATTGATTATGGTGTTATTGCTCATATTTCACTTATTATAACTTAAAAAGTAGAATATTAAATTATATTTAAAAATATAGATTTTAAATAAGAAAATTATCTTTAATTATTATTGATTACATCGTTCCAATTTGTAATTACACTGTATTAACACTCGTATTATTACTAATGTAGATTTGAAATAATGTTTTTTTAATCGCGGCTATTCAATGCGGATATCAACCGGTCAGTCTCCACTAATGAATTTATTGCATTTCCATAAAATATTCCAAGATAATTAACTGTTTTAATGGATGAAATGGTTTTAAATATTTATATAATGCTAACTATAATCATGTTGCGTATAATGAAAATCTTTGTTTTTTTAATTAATCAACGAATACTGGAAAATAATCGTTTATGGAGATAGTCTTCAAAAAATTGATAACATTTTAAATGTGTTGTCAAAAATAAAAATTATTTCTAATTTATATGTAACTAATATGTTACCACCATTAAAAATGATTATTTAAAAGGATTTAATAAAAAAAAATAACAATTATTGTGCTCATGGGCTAAGTAAACTGTTAATTTTTCGCAATAAAAAAAAAATGAAAATGCTGTTTGATTAAATTATCTCATCATAAATACGTTTACATGCAAAACTAGGTTAGGGGCGGTAAGTCTTCCCTACTTTTTACATGGGTGTTCTTGTTAACAAGCTGATAACTGATAAATATCTGACGAGTTATCTAGCCTCGGGTACAAGAAAATAGAATGTGCAATCTAGATCGCAGAATCGCCACTGGTCCATATGCTATTAATTTTTTTTATTAGCTGTACAAACTACTGTTAAATAAAAAAAACTATAATTTTATAATAATTATCACGTGATCGGTTGAATTATAACGACTGTGTCAAAATACTGTAAAATTGGCAGTCAAATTATTTATATTATTCGTTGGTTAAACTAGTGAGATTTTGAAATTCTGACATTTAAGAAATACGTCAATCAAAACGTGTCGGCTAACTATTGTCTTTTGACCAATTTACATACTAAAATAAATAAAAACTGTAAATAAGAAACAAATGTAAAATAAATGTATTTTGAACATTCTATGTTGTTATATAACTATAAAAACTATTTAGTTAGTGCAAACAATTAGAAGTAAATTACCTCAAAATTAACTTGATTTAGTTGTATAGTACTTAAGAAACTAATTAATTGTACATTTGGTTGGCATAACATTTTTTCTTCGTGATTTTTTGATTATAGAATACTTTTATTGATGTAGCGTACATAAATTTACATAGAATAATTTTTAAAATAACTTTTTAATAATTATAATTATGAAAAAAAAACAATTTTTTTTACAGATTAATTTCATTTTATCGACTAGAAAATAAAAAATAGAATGTCATCCGAATAGTTATTAAAAAGTATCATTTATAAAAACTTGTCATAAAAGAGAGCTAATAATTACTAATTATAGCTTTCGTAGTAATTTATTAGTCATTATTATCATAGGTACAGTAATTTGTGATTTAAAACAGATGGTTTATCTAAAATATTACTTATTTGCATTATTAGATTTATTATTATATAATAAGTCTAATTTAAGAAGAAATATTTTATCATAGCGTAAGTAACACCAAATACATTTTATAACTTTTATTAACAATATCATTCATAGTTTATAATATAATAAGTAAAAATATAAAGCGTTTGAATAAAATGTACTGTAGCTCAGTTTTTAAAGAATAGAGAAAAGTTATTATAATCTGCATTTGTAATTAAGCCACGTTTTATACATTAAGTACTAATAATTTTATGATATTTTAAAAAATAATACTTTGTTATATATGTTGATTTGTTAATATTATAAAAATACAGTCTAAAATAAAGGTAAATTTAGTTTATTTATTAAAAAAAATATAATTTTAAAAATAAACATCAAACACTTTCTTATCATTCTTGTAATGTATATTTGGAAGAAAACCCCATTAAAAATCGTATATTACGCATATTAATAACTATGTAATAAATTATAAGTAATAATAATTATATCATAAAATATTTTTTCCGACAACAAGAAAAATTTAAGATTTAAAATTTATGCATTTTGCCTGTAGGTCAAATGTTAGATAATGATCTAGTATACATAATTAGCTTTTTATGATGAGATAAATTAATATAAATAACACTAGTATAACACGAGTAATTATTTTTTCGTCATTATTCACTGGTTGATTTTGATATTTAAAATGAATTTCACTTGTTTTTATACTTAACTTAATCATTAAACATTATAATTTGTTTTTAGAAATCTAAAAATTACTTGTTATATAACTTTTAAAATTATTGTTAATATAACTTTAAGTACCCAAATCCTAACAACCAGATAAATTGTTTCAATTTCATAGAATTCCAATAAAAACGGTCAAGTTTAAGTCAATACCAAGAATTTAGAAGTGAATTCTCATGGGCGATAATTATTTATAAAAATCTTTAAGAGCGAATAAATTTCGTAATTAACATTTTAAGGTTAACGAAATATATATTAATTGTCGAATTATTACTGCAAAAAATATCAATTATAGTTTGAAAATAATGATATTACGTATGTTTATTTAAATATTGTCAATCGCAAAATTTTGCTAACGAATTTAATTGACAGCAGGAGTATACTAATAATAGAGCAGATGTTGGTCCCAATTAATGATAACTTACGTTAGAAATTTGGAATTTAACTAGTAGTAAAATAATATTATATGTGAGAAA